ATATTTTAATGTTACATTTGCAGCATAAATAAAAAGGCACATTATATGTTTGGTAAGAACAGTGGCTAAAAGAACAAGTTGCTAAGTGGCAGGGTTTCGTGTATTTATTCATTTTTAAAGTTTTAAAAATAGAAGAATACAAAGATGAAATGCCACAAAACTCACCCAGGCCTGTGGTAGCCAACACAGGACCACGGGAACCACGGGACAGGTAAAATGCTAGCTTGTGAGGACCTGCTCACAGGAGCACTTCGGTGAATTATTTGTTGGCTTACCAGTCAAGAGGATACATCACTCCATAGTTCACAACCCTCCCTCAGGCCTATTCATTTTTTCAGGCAAAAGAAGGGCTGGAACCTCAGATCTACCTACGTTTCAGGAAGTGACACATCAACAAGGCCACTGCAGAAGGAACGGCAGCCATGGAGGAGAAAAGAGCCGATATATACCTATATAGTTCTATATATATTTATAGATATGCATTTCATTTTATGAAATACTAAATCCTCTTTTGTGGTTAAGCATTCCGGGATCTCTCTCCCCCACCCTCAATTTATTGATCATAAAACAAAAAGCTCTCCATATACTATTTCTACATTTGAAAAGATAGCAAAAACGAGGCAGGCAGCTATTACGGAAAGAAGGCAGGCATCCGAAGGGATCCTGCAGAACAGCCATTTTGCTACAAGAAGGGAAGACTACGGATATGTAGGCAGCTGGGATCCATGGGAGAGAAACCCAGAGGTTGTGGAGATGTGAGAGGAAGCACCCTGGGCAAATCAATGGTGATCAGACATGACATACACATCACTCTGGATGATTTGACAACATGGAAACCAAACAATAGACTTCTGGGGTGTTTACATTTACAAAAGCAAGGTCTATTATACAGGAAGAACGCTTTCTTGGGTAAAGATATATTTTTCTCTCTCAATAGCATGAGGAAAAATTAGGGACCTGGGACAACTGGTTTAATGACCAAGCTGCAAGTAAACACATCTACTCCACTCCTGTCTCCAAAAGATGAAAAGTTACAACTGAATGCATTTGCGATCAGGGTTTCAAATGGGTAGGAGAATCATTAAATATATTTATTACAGTTGTTGCAACTGACATTCAGCTGCCGGGATTTAAGCATTGAATACAGAGTTTAGCACAGGAGAAAGAAAGGAAAATATCTGCTACTGACTCAGATACTACTGCATTGTAACTGTTACTCCATCTCCTGTATATCCCTTGCTAGGATGTGAATATTTGCAAAATTGTAATGATGCAGCCTTCTTCAACCAGATTGAAGGAAAGCTATAGAAGTACTTTCGTCAAAGGATTTGAGCTCAGTCACGTCGCTCAACATACAGATTCTGAGAGAATGCTTCAAGTATTGGAAAGTGTCCTGAGCCCATCTATTGCACTGCAGTAGCCCCAACAATGTGCTTACTTGTTGAAAATAGGCCTTCTCTTTCAAATGATTCTCCACATCCTCCAATACTGAGCATAGGAATATTCCTTTCCTAAAGCTTCAATACTGGATCCTTAAAGGGCTTTAGTGCTTGCATGCTAATTCTCCTACAAAAATGCACATTAAAAAAAACCTTTCAACAATGTTCTTTTTATGGGTATTATTATAAAGTAAAAATCATTAGTATGGGGTACCTGGATTTCTCCCCTTGGCTTCCCTAGTCTTAGTACTGTAGACAATCTGGGACCTTAGTCTTATTTCTGCCATAATAATATTTATTTGTTATACCTCATCTTTCTACTTGAGCAAGTTAAGAAGCAATTTCAGTGGAATATCTCCAGCAGATGTAAACATGGAGACAATTTCTAATGGACAGGCAGTTCCTCAGTCAGATCCTAAGCTGCATTAAAGATCAATAGCAATACTTCAAAATGTGCTCTCTAAGTCCCACTGGCAAGCAGTGCAAATCACACAACCCTAGTAACATATGCTCCTTGATTTAGTTACTACCCACAAATCCAGTGACAGTTGAAGATCAAGGATCAGTTCCAAACTGCAGACTTCTTTCAGAGGGTGTGCAATCTTACTCAAAACAGACTGAGTCTTAATTCCAAAGTTCCCTTTGTTACTGATTTAACAGCATCTGTCTATTGTCTGAATAGAATTTCAGCTAGCAGTAATTTCCCACATCCAATTAATCCCTGAATTTAATTGCACTCAAGGGTACTGGTTTCTTCTTGAAGCTGGAAAGATAGGAACAAAAGAATCACACAACACTTCTACTCTAAATCACTGGATGACTTCCTTCACCCACAGCAATTTTAGATAAATGTTGAAGAGCACAGGGGACAAAACAGAACTCTATGGCACACCATAGGCTAATGGCCATAGTATCAAGCTAATTGTTTTCAGCACCACCTTCTGGAACTTGCCCAACAGAAAAGGCTGAAGCCACTGCAAAACAACTACACCAACTAGTTCAGAAGCAATCATGGCAGATGGTCCTGAAAGGCACCACAAGATCCAGACAAATTAGCTGAAACATACCCCACCGATTATCTAATTTCTTCTAATCTTCCAAAGCACACTCTGTAGTCTATCTTGCCCAAAAGCCAGACTGACATGGTTCTAGAAAAGGAAAGTTATTCTGAGAGTAGGCTTTCTGTACCATTTATCATTTTCCCTCTTATAACTGAAGAATATATTGCAACGCATCGATTGGGGCTTCCATTATAATTACTGTATGGCCAAAGGATTCCTCTTCCATTTGTATAGGTTTTTGTCAATGAGTGTTTTTAAACTGGCAATAAATAAATAAATCAAAACAACTGATTACTTAATTGCAGACTAACTTCAAATAGAACTGTTAGTGAAAACCTCTCTTCTTATCCAATATTAGAAATATTTATAATTCTGTAATAATAATAATAGAAGATAGAGTATTCTGTGATATGCAACGTCTTGTCTAAATATAGGTTAGGTCACAGATCTGTTAAGGAGCTTCTGTCTGGGGGCCAGTAATGAACATGAATGTTTCTTTTTTTTGTGCTAAACTTGGTTCATATGCTGCTGGGAAAAAGCTGGTGTGCAATACGTTGTTGAAAGGAGGAAGGTCTAGGGCAGAGATCCCTGAACTTGGCAACTTTTTAAGATTTGTGGACTTCAACTCCCAGAATTCTCCAGCCAGATATGCTTAAAGTTGCCAAGTTTGGGGACCCTTGGTCTAGGACAATTGATCATGACCATGCCTGTCTGTGATCAACTGATCAGCCATGGCTCCCTAACCCAACTGTGGGTGTTCATCCCTGGCTGGCCCTCCATGGATACTTAATTGCATGCCTCCCCCAGGGAACCCACCACGGGCGTTCGTCCACAGCTGGCCCTCCCCTGGTGTTAGAGAGAAGAGCTAAGCTCTGGGGGACTTTGGTCAAGAAACGCCACAGAGAGAGAAAGAAGTGGAAATTCTCACTTTGTGCTGGCTTCCAAGGCTAAAACTCCTCAAAGAATTATGTTTTTCACAATTCCATGGCTGAGTTCATCATCTATTTAAGCCATAGATTAAAAAAAATACATATTCCATATTTATTTTTATATATACTTCCAGGTGGAGAACATACATAATATTTCTTTCTTCTATTTTTCTCAGAAAAATCCATATGAGGTGATGACTGATCCAAAGTCACCCAGTGGGCTTTCATTCCTTAATGGGACTAGAACTCACAGACTCCTAGTTTCTAGCCTGATGCCTTAACCACTAGACCACAGGTAATTTGTTCAGTTTGGTCCATCAGTACTGAGTGAACACTGTCACTGTTGTTCATAAAATTAGTATATTGTGGTTTGTTCATGAAACTATGGCTTAAAGAGATGCATGAATCCAACCAATGACTTGTTTAAAACATGGAGAATGCAGTCTTGGAAGACATGAAATTTTCTTCCCCTTTAGAATATAACGTGAACGTCATCTAGTGAAGAAAGAACAGCGTTTAAAATCACAATATATTATTTGCAAGAAATAATCCTCTTAAGTACACACACACAAACACCATATAGTGCTGAAAAGAAAATGGTTTTGTAAAGAGATTACAAGTGCCAATCAGTCAGCTGGATATGCCAATAAGCAGAACTTGGAAGGGCTTTGCCCTGTCCTCAAACGTCGGTTAGAATGGCAATCCATTACCTAGTGCAATACCATTTATGCTAGAGCAACTTTAGCAATTTTAAAGATATGTGGACTTCAACTCCCAGCATGCACCCAACTTAAAGTTGCCGAGGTTGTGAGACATTGCTCTAGAGCAGGGGTGTCAAACTCGATTTCACTGATGGCTGCCTCAGGGTTGTGTTTGACCTGGGGGGAGGGGGGGGCGTGGCCAGGATGGGCATGGCCAGTTTGACATCACTCATACTGGTGGAGTGACATAAGGGCTCTAGAGCTCCATTTTCAGCTGCAATGGCCTCCTGCCGCCCTCTGCCAGCTTGCACCTCCCCCCGCTCCGTTTTCACTGGCAGAGGCAATGTGGGCTGGTCCTTTGTTGTTTCTAGTGTGCTCTGTGGGCCAGATCTAAGCACCCCACAGGCTGGATCCGGCCCCCAGACCCTGAGTTTGACACCCCTGCCCTAGAGGAAAGAGATTTTGGCAGAGCTGATGGGTGGAGGTGTGGTAAAACGGGAAGGCAGGGCAGAAAGGATTATTGTTCAACAGGACCAGAATCATCTGTGAATTCTACTTTTCAATCATTCCCCACAGAAAATATGTTCAACAAGCTTGTAAAAAAAAGTCAGGAAATATACCCTTCACTAAAATAGGATGGCACACTTAAAAGAATGGAAGACAAAAGCAGACCAGAAGCTGGTAACCATCCCTATCTAGCAATTTGGAATACTGCCATAAATGAGTGAGAATCCAATAAGTAAGCTGACCAGGGAACACAAAACAAGAATCCTCTTTGGTAGACAACAATAAAAACCACAATGGGAAACACACGCACACTTACACAAGCCATGTGTTTACAGCTGTTGGTAATTTTTTTTTTTTTAAAAAAATGCATTTAACACAGAATTATCCTAAGAAAAAAGTACTAGAAAGCATTAACTGTCAACATTTTATACGATGAGTAATTCCTATCCTTGCTGTCTGTTCAAAGATTCCTTGATATGCCAGTACTACAGGTGTACTGGAGACAGATCACTTGGGGCAAAATAATTTTCCATCATGAGTTCCAGAATCTCTCTTCTTTTTTATATATGCAACTATTATCATCTCCCTTTCTGTTTGGCATGGATAAGCGAATCTATTACATACAGCTTTTCTATAAGTTGCAAACAAGCAACGGTTACACTCAATAGCAGGCTGCTTGGTGGAACACAAAAGGATTACTGTATACGTCCATAGGTATTCTATGACAGCAGGGATGGTTTCGTGCGCAATCTAGATCCCACACATGCACAGATGAAGCTTTGCTCACTCGCGCGCTGCTTGCGTAGCCCGGTTCCTAACAGGCAATGGACCGGTACAATCAGGAGAATGTGACATGGGGCGGCTTTTCCAGAAGTAGGGAGAGCATAATGAAGTTGCAATAACAGAAGTCTATTTTTGGCTGCAAGTGTCTCCTACACAAACCCTGATACTTATAAGGAAAGTATGACCGCCATAATGTTCTTTGCACCAAATCCTTATGGATTTTGAGTTACTAGTGGAAGTGCCACTGCCTAGGTCTTGTGTGCTGAAATGCACACTGTTACACTGAAACAGACATAAAGCCTGGCTCAGAAAAATATGAACCATAATGTAACTTTTTGCTTAGCCTAATATGGGAAAGAGTCCCCTACTATGAGTAAAACATAGTTTCTCATAGAGATGGGCACTCTATACCAATAAAACCAGAATGGGATATTGCATTTTCCCAAGGAGCTGGGACACACTGCAATATTTCTCTAAGCAGCAACTAGTGGTATCATATAACTATTAGAGACATTTACCAGAATAAAGCGGTTTTTTTTTACTATTATTACTGTAAAATTCAAAAGGAAACAACAAAAAAGGTAAGATAAATATCTGAGCCTATCCAATAAAAGGCTGTTTCCTGATTCTGTTCTACAAAACCTTCATATCTCTTTAGAGTGATAAATGAAACTATTCAGAGGAAAAGGCCACATACACAAGAATGGATCCAATAATTATGAACTACTGTAGTTCCATGAAATCAGAAGAACATATGAAAAATCACTTGCCACAAAGAGAAAAAGGAAAGATTATGAAAGCTGTTTGCAATTTGCTGGAGATGGGGGCGGGGAGTGTTTAAAACAAATCTACTCATGATTTGATAGATCCTTGATATGGGTCTTTCCAGCCCAAGCATTGCCATTTGTGAAAACTGCTATACAAGAAAGCTTATAGAATCAACTTCCTCATGAAGCTTATTAAATGCTGACGTTTAATTACCAAGAGACAGGTTCACATGTTCTGGGAAGTTCTGGGAAAAGTTCTGTACTTATAGAAGATTATGGTACACCTTCCTCTCATGGAAGAAACTTTTTGCACATAAAATAGTAGCACTGCAGTAGCACAGATGGCTGTACTAAACTCTCTCTCTCTCTCTCTCTCTCTCTCGTGTGTGTGTGTGTGTGTGTGTGTCTGTGTGTGTATGTATAATTATGTATGGTTTCCCAGATTGCTTTCTTTGCTACAAGGCACAAGGCACAAAATTTTGTTAAAGGGTTCAGTAACAGACATGTGGCCCCTGGTCAATTGGCAGATTGGAAGGGTACACACTTAGAATAGTAATTTCTTATAAATATGGGATTGAGCCCAGAATGCACTTCCTTGGTACAATCAGAAAATAAGCTGAAATAAAATGAGACTCATTGCTCTAGAATATGTAGATCAGCCTTAGCATACCATGCACAGCTAATATTTTCTCCAAGCTAGAAGAGTACTTGACAGGATCACACCTTACCCTGCTCTCAATCTCAAGAATTCTTTGCTTACTTGAAAGAAAATATTTTTAGACAACAACTTGGCCATCATCTGAAGTTGACTAGAGAGATCCTTGCTACAAACCCAATTGCTGATGTTATGAGTTTTAATATGTTTATTAAAGCTTTCTGACAACCAATGTGTCAGCTACATATAGAGGACTGATCACAGTCTGACCAATGCTTCACATAACTCAGTGGCCTTATAAGAACCACCTCTTACTGTGATTCCATGCAGCAGAAGTTATTTATACAGCCCGAATTTTGTAACTCCGGAACTATTCTAACCAGGCAGGTATTGAATAGCAGGAACTAAAGCAACATGCAGAATGTGGCTTCATTTTTAATAATCGTTAGGAGCACAGAATCGTACTAAGGGAACTGTTACAATCCACATGCAAGTACATGGAAAAGGGGACAGCAAAGCAGAGTTTAATTTTAAAATGCTATAAGAAAAATTATTTCCTTCAAATACTTTAAAAAATAATAATGATAAAATAATTTCAATTCTGTTCACAGGCTCTATTTGTACTAGGCTGGGCAATTTTTGGTTGAGGATACAGCAGAGTCCAATAGACAAGGTGGATATGGTTTCTAATTTTATTGAGGCCCTCCCCTCAAACATTTCTCCATCTCTAACAGCATGATACTTTAATCTATTTCTTCATTTATTAAATTTATCTGCCACCCATTTTGTCACGCAGAGACTCTGGCTGGCTGATTGGCTTAATCTAACAGAAGAGTGGAATTTATCCAGTTTTAGCAGGAGTTCCCAGGGGTACATAAGAATGTCCCCTTGGCCTGTACTGTGTGTGCTTTTGTTTGCTACACTCCCTTCTTATTCCGAAGTACTGGAGCACTGAGGCAGGGAGCTCCTGGAACAGGGCTGCAGTCATGTTCTTTTAGGGTAGGCTAATGGAATGAGACGCTTTTTATGAAAGCTCTTTTATATTATACTCCTTGATTTTGAACCACAGTATGTCCCCCATAAGAAGCAGCTTGCGCATTCTACCAGACCCATCAAATCAGGTCCTTTCCACAAGCCCTCTTACCTGTGCCTGGAGTGTTAAGGTCACTTCTTCTTACTGTCTCAGAGCCTGAGCACAACTCTCACATTGACTGAAGATTCAACATTTGTCTACTCTGCAACAGAATTAAGTGAACCAGGCTGAGTGACAATGACCGAACAGCAAGCAGCACAGATCACGAACTAAGGCAGAGGGAAGGCCACCCCAATGTCACATGATCTTTAATAATGATCATCCTTCCTCAGCTTGGCATATTCAAATGTGATGGATCACAACTCCCATCATTCCAGCCAAGATAGCCAAGGGTCCTTGGTGCTCTCTGCAAGAAAACAGTCTAGTTCAAGGAGCATCAAGGACTCCTTGTTTCAACCCTGAGCTACAAATATTCTCCTTTGTCCGTTACAGTCTTGATCCCATCCAGCCCTTCCAGAGAGTGCCAAGTTGAGGGAGTATGCTTTACGTCCCTGCCTAAAAGTAACTAAAGCAGCCTCACATCCAATTAGGAGAGAGATTATAGCATATTAAAGACCAACTGATTTTCATATAGAAAGTTCCAGGCAAAATTGCCAATTGCTCTAAAACAAGGTTCCCATCTAAGAGAAAGATTTGGGGTTTTTATCTCACAGCCCCAAATAAAGAAAGACCTTCTTTAAGTTTGAGGATTATTCTTAAGCCACAGCTCTGAATTATTAGGGTTTACTGAGTCATGCTCTGTGTCTCAACTATACAACTCTTGGAGGGAACTATATATTCATTGAGAAAGAACAATGCTGGGCCATACCTATCTTTTGGTGTCATTTTGAACTATGGAAGGAAATCCACCCAAAATTTAACCTCCCTTTGGCAAGTCTCTACCTATCATTCACTTGCAAATGTTGATACATTCATACTTCCTTTCCAGGTTTCTTAGCATTCCCACAATGCTACCAAGGATAGTGTTGAATTAGGTTGGCCAATAGTGCAACTGACAGCTTCATTTGTTCTTTCTCATAGCAAAACACTAGTTGTCAATGAGAATCTAGGTCCCAGATAGTAAATTCAATGCTATTGTGAGCCCTTACTTTTCAATGGAAAATATGAGAAACCAAAATTCTACAGTCCTTTCTCTAGACCTGTATTGCATTCATTCAACAACAAGCAGAATTCTGAAGTGTTCTTTTTTAAATGAAAGAATGCAGCACAGTTATGTTTCTAAAGGTACAAAAAAGTAACATAAATTAAAAAAAAAAGAAAACTAAAATACCTTATCATCTGTCCCACTTGCCAGCAAGCTCATTTCTTGTCCTATTAACCTGAGAAGATCCTGGCTACACCTGCTGTGCACTGTTATTGGAGCTGTCACTAAGGAAACAGATACCCTGTTGGGACAAGTTATACTTCAAAGCCCTTGCCAACTTGCATTTTTAGCATATCAAGGGAACAAGGAAAAGGTGGGGGGAGGGGGAAGAAGACAAGTGACAGGACGTCTGAAATGCTTGTTAAAAGGAAGTCTGCAGAAATTCAAAACACATTTTGCTTCTTTTAAACAAAGGGGAAAGGAAAAGGAACCCAGGAGAAATTAAAATTAAGCATCGCTTTCTCACAGAAGAACAGAACAAGAAGCAACAGCATCATATTCAGACAAGGAAACAGTTGGAGAGCAAGTGACATTAAGGTCCTGAGAAGCTGGGTTGATCGTGATGAAAGCAACACCAATAACAGAAAACCTGCATTAAGTTTAGCATGCCACATATACAATTACACATACATACATAGACATGTGCATTTGTGTGTGTATTATATGTGTGCTTTCTATTGGGTGGAAATTGAGGAATAATAATTTTTTTTGTATAGACTGGCAGCACACAGTACACAGCCCCTTTGAGGACAATGTTTTATTTAAACAAAAGACACATAATTAGGAAGACAAAATAGTGGAAGAGTTGGCAAGTTGCATAGCTACACTCTAACTACCACTCTGCACCTTTTCCTCTGATTGTGATTCAAGCTTAAACATTGGCCAACTAGCAAGAGGTCAAGGTCAGTCCAAGATGCACATGCACACACTTTGACAAGAAGCAGAAGAAAAAGGGAGAGATTACTTCCAATTCTTCTTTTTTGTTTTCAATCTACCCTATGATAGCAATGTGCAAGAAACTTGGTATTTATTTTGGAAGAGACAGATGGAAAAAGACAATAGGTGACATCATCTGAAGGAGAAATAGAATGGAAAACCTTTGACCAAAAAAAAAAAAAAATAGTAAGAGGGGAAGCAATTTGGAATGTTTGTTCCCATCCTCTTTGTCTTTGAAATAGTCCATGATTTAAGGCCACAATCTTGAAAAGCTCACTGGTTAAACGTATCAGCTTAGCTTTTGAAATGAACATGGCTTATAAGAGTATTGAATCTTTAGCATTTGCAAACAGAAATACTTTTTCCTGTTTCTTTGCCATTGAGTTAACTCTTATGTTGTCTCCAAACAACTTTGTTTAGCTACATCCTGTAGCTTAGCACTGTGTAACTTTGAACCTGCTACTGTAATGCTTATGATTCTGCAACTACTAAAAGTCCAGACATCTTAAAGTTGACAAGGTGAGAAACACTGGTATGAATTATTCTATTTTTTCCCCTAGACACAGTAAAGCAGGGCTATCAAACTCCCGGTCTGCAGGCCGGATGCGTCATGTGTTGGCCATGCCCATGCCCGGTTTAACAAAGGGAGAAAAAGTCCCGATATATCACGTGACACTGCCGTGACGACATGAGTTTGACACCCCTGAAGTAAGAGGTGCCCTTGTGAATGTTCTTCCTTCTCGTTATTGAAATACGCCTTAGCTCCCCCCACCCCCTGGTAACCTAAAAATCAAAGAATTCCCATTGTGTTTTGAAGGCTTCCTCTTGAACTACAAAAATGAAAGTTTGTATCAGATAACAACATGACCAAAAAAATGTATCCCTGATAATATGCATAGTACAAATTATGTGATCTACAATGCATACAACAGGCCTGCCATTTTCTCTTCCAGAACAGCAAAATCACCCGTCAGTTGCAGCAGCTAAGAGTGAAGGTTTCTTACTCTCTTCACAAAACAATTTGAACAGTTCAAACCGACCAAATTATGGAGCTTACCACCTTCAGAGCCACGAGCTGGTATCCTGTGTGAAAGTGTAGAATGGAAGGTCAGGTACCATGTTGATGGATAGGCTACAAAAACAGTCAGGATGCTAAAGTTTTCCACAAAAATGGCCAGCACCAGCAAAACATCACAGCACCTCCCAAGAACTGCTTTCTCTTGCTATAGTAGCCAAGACAAAGAAGCACCATGAATAACCAAACTAAGGGAGGCTTAGTGTTAGCACAATGTATACCTGGACTTTAACCATTTAAGATCACACTGTATAAGGCTATCCAAATGGTTGATTCTAGTGAGAAATGGTGAGAAATGGTCTCTAAAGTGTGGCAAAATGACTTTTTCCAAAGCCACCCTCTGGAAAGACGATGGCCCTATGATAGATGTTTGAGGCCAGGACCTATGTGAGATATACTTTGTTAGAAGCTCCATAGCTGCCCTTCACTCATTTTTAAGAAATCAAAATAATAATGAACAAAATGAACAAAACAAAAACTGTATCCACCCCATTTTGAACAAGGGGCTTAGTTATGATCAGTCTCTCTGGCTGCAGTTCATTGGTTAGTTCTATGCCATGCAACTGGCGACATCATCTGCCAGCAGACTGGGAGTGCGGCGCCATAATGACATGTGACTGCATGGGCATGTTTAGTTCTGTCCTTTGGTTGGCCATCTGAGTGAGGACTGAAGTGGCAACGGCTTCAGCTGCAGAGCGGACGTTCAGCCCATTGGGAGATGCAGTCACCGAACTGTGCTGGATGACAGGAGCTGGAGAACCGGTGGGCTCAGAACTCTCTTTGGGGCTTTCTGATTTTTCAAGAAAAGGGAAAAAGAAAATGGTATTAATGATTGGGCTTGGCTTTACAGACTTCTACAGAACATGCTTCGGCAACTATTATTCTGCTAGTTCTCACCAGTTACATTTTCTCAAATGAGTTGCTCTTTTTGGCCACAATATTCTCTGTACAAAAATTCAGCTTTAATACAGACTTAACAAGCCTGAAAATACAACTCATTCTGATGCTAATCAAAAGTATTTGTATAATCTTGTGTTGGATACACTGAAACCATGATCATAGACTTTCGTTTTACATAGCATATTATGTGAATCCAGCCACCTGTATTTGATAAACCATAGTTTATTGTTGTCAGGAGTCAGCCAATTCTGGTTTCTTCGATTAAAAAACAAATCAGCCACACATCTCAATAATAAAACTGCTTTGGAGTGAATGTGCATAAGAGAAGAATTTGACTGGCATTATTTAGGTGCCAAATGAATTTTTTTTCCCTACAGCTACGCCTTATAATGTGAACTTTAAGAATTGAAGAGGAAAAGGGAAGAAAATACAGTTTTACAGCACTGAAAAAAATGCAGCCTTTGGGGGGAAATAGGTTTTGTTTTATAGCTGCAAATGTAGTAGAATCTTTTTCAACTGAGTGTTCTTGAGATAATATGGACTAAACCATCCATCATCCAACGGAAGAACTGGCCATAATAACTGGGGTATTCTATCCCCAACAGTTCTGGAATAGCTTAGGTCAGAGTTGGTGTTCTTGTAATATTCACAACTCTTCAACTATAGAATGCTTTCTAAATTTTGACTGATTCCAAAATGCTGTTTCATAAAATGCTGAAATTCTAAAATCTATATCTGACCTCGATAAAAGAGAATGCTTGTAACTCAGGGTTGAAATTGAGATCCTTGGTGTTCTCTGAGCTTGGTTGCTTTTTTGCAGATGTTTCATTACCCAAACTAGGTGACATCATCAGTTGTTGTTTTTTGCTCTGCTTGAACATTTATCAGATTCTGCTTACCAAGATAACCTTGTGTTTTCTTCTGTAATGCAGTGACAGGGCAGTCCTTGTGAGCCAACAATAGTTGTTTGAGTTGCGCAACTTCATTCCTTAATAATGTAACTTCATTCTATGAGAAAGGAAACATTTAGTCTCATTGCGTTGGTTCAATATCCAATCTTGAATCTTGTTAAGTGTTAATTTGAAACAGTGAGAGAACAATCAGAGGTACAACATAAATATGAAGGAATTTACGGATGATAGGTTTCAGCCAGCACTTTTTACTCATTACTTAGCCTAGGGAATGCTTCATTCGTCATGCCCCTCTTTTTAGCATTAAAATTGTTATGATCCTATGACTCAATCCTATGCCTAAATGGTGTCTTTTGCTATTGGGATATTTTTGAAAAGGCCAATTTGGAAACCTGGTAGTGAAGAAAGGAGATTCTAATCTAAGAAACCTTGAAATAAAACATGTTTTAATTCTGAAAATCTTTTGAAGTAAGTCAGGCTAAATGGAATGCACGTGCGCACTTGTACACAAGCACACACACTTAGGCAGTATCTTTTCCACCAATGAAATATAAAGTGGAAACTGCAGGGCTGATGCAAAGTACCTGGAAGGGTTTTACAAAAAAAATGCTGAAAAATCACAAAGGCAAAACAAGTCCACCTTCCAGGTTTACCTTTCTTAGCATACTAGCTTCATGGAATTCATGGAGCTATTTTTGGTTTCTAGCAGACAGAGGCTGCTTATGGGGAATGCAGGTAGCAGCCTGTTTTAATACTGGAGTTGGAGCTGATGAACCATGTCGTGGTAGGCTTGCTTAGTTGCATTCTTTGTGTAAGTCTCTCAAAAATGGTGGGAGCACCATGCAAGGGCACATATGGAAATAACTCAAGTGTATTAACATTCTTTTTATTACCCCTGAAAGGGAGATTACACTGAAATTCAGTTTCTCCCTCTAAGACAGAACTATCCCTGTTGGCTTAGGCCCAAGAACCAGAAGGCTCAATTCTTTTTCCTCAAAGGCAGGAAATTTCTATTAAGCTTCAGAATAAGTTAAGCAACAGGGTAGTAAAAAGCAAACCAAAAAAATTCATAGCAGCGCAAATAGCTTGGCTCACAATCTAGCACCCGCAATATATCAAATCAGGCCAAGGTTCCACAGCAGACAAGAGAAGAAACGAAGCTTCCAATGTTAAGAGACAGATGGAAAGCATGAAAAGGTTCTCTTTATGCATTTAGACCACATAAAAGTTAACAAGTCTTTCTTACTTATAAGAATAATAGCAGAAAGCTTCACGTTAGGATATTTTGAAATGATAACAATATATTAATAATAATGTATGATTTATAGGTGATGGGAACAAAGAAAAAGAAGAGGAGGACTATGAATTATCCTTGTCAAAGGGTGAGTAAACAGACCTGCCGCAGTAAGATTGGAACTGAGTTATAAGATTTTCTGAAAAAGTCTACACCGACGAGTAACAAGAAATAAAAATGACGGAGGCCCTAATGTCTGTTCCACAAAATGTCCATTCCCACAAGGACCTATAATTTAAATAAGGGATCTATAGTCTCAGAAAGTGTGTGTTAGTAGAATGCATTATTTCACAGAGACCTCAAATCTCCCCCGACCCCCCACCCCCGGCAAGGAAAGCTCCTCCAGATGGTAGACAGCCAAGACCAAGAATACCTGCTGAATGTCAGGATCTTCAAAGATAAGCAATGAAGGTCTCAGAGTATAAAAATCACCTCCATGCTACATTCAGGTCCCATAATTTCAGATTGTATCGGCTAGGAACAAATTTATGAACTATAGATTTCACATAAGTACCCTAGAGGATGATGGCCTTGAAAATAAAGCAAGGATAGATGTGATATTAGGGGTACATTTATCATACTTTAGGCATGCTGGCAAGCCTACTTACACTGAGTTGGATGTTCTGTGTGGTGAGCTCTTCTGCTTTCTTTTCCAAGGACGACACCCAGAGCTTGCGTTTCTGGCGGCAGCGGGAGGCAGCAGCACGGTTTCGCTCCAAGAAACGCTGCCTGCGTTCGTCTGGATCTTCATCTGCTGTGCGTCTCCGTCGGCCACCTGTACTTGGTGTGGGTTGAGCTGGGGAAACCTGAGGACGAAGGACAGATAGATGGGCAGGCTTTTCATACAGAAGATGGGGCAGGCTGTTCAAACAAAAAGAGGAGGAACCTGTGGCTTTCCGGTGTTATTAAACTACACCTCCCTGCATTTCTTGCCACTGCTCATGCTGGCTAGAACTGCTGAAAGTTGCAGTTCAGCCATTATCTGAAGAGGTCCACCTTCTATTAAGAACTCAGCAGTCATAATATACTTATACGGAGCAAAGAACATGTCCAATCAATTTTCGGGGTTATTAGCACTGCCATAATGCTCTCAAATGCTACTTTACTGTTTAATGTTTGCCTTTTTATTCTTGATTGCTTTTATTATATTTTGCATGGTATTTTTCTGTAAACTGTTCTGATATTTTATCTGAGAATAAAAAGTAATAACTACAATCTTTTAATGAACAAACAATAAATAACACTTTCTTCTGATTTGTCTGGTTCCCAATGGTCTATTTGTAAAGTAGATGTACAAGAAGCACAAATGTCAATTGCTGTGCATTTATCTGCAAGCAACTTGGAATATTCGGTCATTATTTGATTTTGCATCCTTTCATCAATTTAATTTTTTTTAAAAAAACTTCTCTTTTCCCTTGTGTCTGTTCAAGCATCTATATTATTTTTGCAATGAGATGCTTGTGTGGTAGAAGCAACGCTGTAATAGTGACTGAAAATTCCTTTTTATTTTTCAGCAGCCAAATGGAAATAACTGCCAAAAGCAAAAACAAATTTGCAGGTTCCCACCTTAACTCAGCCTCCCCAAATGGGCCCTATAATTAGACAGACAGTTTCCACTTCTCTATACTCGCTGTTAGTCAGGCAACATATGGACAGTAAACTTCTGGAAGCTCCAACTGACAGAGCAGGTGGTAATTGTGATGGAAGGCTGGCATTTGGTAAGCTGGCAGGACCAAATGGAGTGCATTTAAACTCAAGTAATTAAGACAGGAAGAGAGACGGGGAGAGAAGATTTGCAAACATTGCTTCTCCGTTTCTGACTCTGTCCCCATTGCTGTTGTATCTCAGTGATAAAACATCTGGTATCAATGCTGACAGAAGCAATGGATGCTCACCCTAGTCTAATCACCTGCTCAGGGAATTAGAAACTGAGTGCCTAAACCTGCTCAGGGAATTAGAAACTGAGTGCCTAAACCTGGCACATCCTGCAACTAGAAAGCTGAAATTTGGCAACAAGGAAAAACAATATGCTGAATTTTCAAGCTTATTTTCATTTGCAACATTTAAAGTTTGTTCTAAAGCACGGTAGTTTTTTCAGAAACTGCAAAAAGGAGAGTTGGTTCTCTAAGGAAATGGGGAAAGACTACAGAAAGATGTACAGGAACATAAGGGAAGAGAGAAATCCACAATTAAGTAGCATTTATTTCCGGATAACTAAAAGACTGCTGGAAGCTGATGACGGTTTTCCTTCCCTTCTCCAGAAATGACTATATTATTGCATAAGAGAGTTCATTATCATCAGGTCATTCTTGTTTTAATAATGGTTCAAAATCTTACATTCATATTTGATCCTAAAAAATACGAATAAAAAGTGTGCATTCCATAGCATATTATGCCATGCCACCCATCATACTCTCTCTAATACCATAGTTAGCCGAAGCCCCTATTTAGAAGTTCCCCATTCCCCTTTTACTCACAAGGACCAGTACATTTTTCTTTTAAATAAAAATCTGGCTCCAATAGTAGCTGTTGGGTTTTAATTAAATTTCATACAGTCTAGCAAGTGCCTTTACAAATTTCCACGGCAGCTTTCCTAAATTTGGGCTCTTTCTTTTGGCAGATGCGCCTGCCAGCTGAGGAAGGACGAGATGTATTGTAGTCTCACTTCTGTTTCCTGAATCTTTACTTAACCCAATTTGGCACTTAACCAACCTGCGGCTGGGCTGGAGAAGGTGCATCAGGGTGCTGGATAAGTATCTGACCCTGTTCAGGATGGGAAGTCACCATTGTGCTCGCTGATCCCACCATCATGCTGCTGCCGTTTAGTGAGGAAGTAACTCCTTGCGTCAGACTGGCTTTTAACCTCTGCATGGGATGAAGACAAAACAAACACTAGGAGAAGCCCGACTTTCTGCTTGTTGAGATGGCACAGTGGCTAAAACATAGTATTGCAGAATTCAATCCTGACTGGCTCAAGGTTGATTCAGCCTTCCATCTTTCTGAGGTGGGTAAAGTGAGGACCCAGATTGTTGGGGGCAATATGCTAACTCTATAAACTGCTTAGAGAGGGCTGTAAAGCACTGTGAAGTTGTATATAAGTCTAAGTACTATTGCTATTGTTGATGTTTTTAACACATATTTGGAGTTTGCTAAAAAGAGGCAGTCTGTTGAAGACAAGGGGCAGTAAACCTGACATGCTGTTAACTAGAGGTTCACATTTATGTTCCTAGAAGAAAAATAAAAACTTGGATTAATGGATGTAAAAACTTCCCACATGACTGGGAATTCTTTTTGCTAAGGAAATCTGAAAAATCTCAGACAAAGGAGATGGCGTTGGATTTCCGGAAGCAGAGAGAGGAACCTGCCCTACTTTATATCAGGGGGGGGGGGGGCTGTGTGGAGAGGGTTTCCTCTTTCAAATTCCTGGGAGTGCACTTCAGCCAAGACCTCACCTGGAAAAATATCATGTTCCAGGTGGTTCGAAAGGCTTAACAGAGATTCCATTTCCTTAGGGTCTTGCGGAAAAATCAGGTGGAACAATGATTGATGACTTCCTCCTACCGGTCTACGATAGAAAGTGTCCTCATATATTATGTCACGGTATGGTGCGCTGGCTTAACAGCCAAGGACAGGAAGGCCCTACAGAGGGTTCCCCCTAACCCCACTGGATGAAATCGTCAGGTCCTGCTGTCTCAGCAGAATGAGGAAAATCCTGAGGGACGATTCACACCCTGGACAGCATTTCTTTATTCTCCTACCATCGGGCAGGAGATATAGGAGCACAGCCAAGCCGGACAAATAGGCTGATTTAATATGACAGACTTACAGTGCAAGTGTAACGGGCAATATGTCTATACCGATGGTGTGTGTGTGTGTGTGTGTGTGTGTGTGAGTATGTATACTTGGGTTTGGGGATTTTCTGTTATTAATGAGATGTAGTCTGTGTTTTGTGAGATGTATTCTGTGTTTTGTGTGGCCTGCACCAATGGAGGGTCATTCAATATTATTGTACCCATGTTGTGCATTGACAATAAAGGTTTGAACTTTGAACTTTTTGTGGAGAAGCTCTAATTAATATGGAATGTTTAAACAGGAATTCTTCCTTTCCCATACAATTAAGAAATAAGTCATCATAAAATGTTCAGACAGCTGAATTTTTCTAGTAAAACACTGGGTTTTTTATTACATTTTACTTCATTTTCCTTCCAAGGAATGCGTGTGTTAGACTCAAAATAACTTGGTCATATGTAAGACAGTTAAAAGAGATTATAAAACTATCACGAGGATATGCCTGTAAGATAAAATAAAATATTATGTTGGTGTAAAGGCTGTCTAGCCTGAAAAAGTACAGGAACTGTTTTTCTTACATTTGTGCGATATTTGCTCAGATGAAAGTTAATATCTACTCTTAATATGCTGTATTTGGACATGTCTACACTTTTGTGGCTGTAGTCTTTGTAACCCCAAGCCAGAATTCAAAGAACTCTGCATCAGTTTTATATGCTAAAAAGGATTTTACAAGTGGTTTTGGCTGAATACCTCCTCTTCTACTGCCATATATCAGCCTCCGTGGATGGGAATTTTGGGGTTTGCAATTCCAACATATTTGGAAAGCTCCAAGTTGGGAAGACTGTCATACACTAAGTTGCTTTTGAATCCGAGAAGAATTTCAAAAACAAATTTATTGTATTTGGCATGGGAATACAACTCAAAAGAAAAAAAAAAACCCACTGTGAGCTTTAGCAGTTTTGGAACTAGTACTTCATCTGTAAATTGTGCAAGCGGTGATGGCAAAGGGGACTAAGCCAGATTTCTGAAAAATGATACAACAATCTAATACATTTTTACAAGATGAAGTTTCTTTACAGCGGTGTTTTCTCAATCTTGGGCCCTTTTAAGTTGTGTGGATTTCAACTCCCAGAATAATATCCCAGCCAGCCATGCCTTCAAGACCAGAATGATAGAAAAAATGTTTTTGAAATCTACAATGCATCTTGATGCATACATCTCTCTCATTTGATTCTTTAAAAGGTGCCATTTTGTGAACAGCAAAGTAGAATCAGGAGCTCACCATTTTAGCTTCAGAGTGTCCTGGAAGGCCTGATGGTGAAATTGAGCCACTGCTGATAACCGGGGGACCAGGAATACCAGGAATGTTTGGCACCATAGGCATCGGCCTTGCCAGCTATATATTGGAGGAGGAGGAGGAAGAAGAAGCATCTTAGGTTTTCTTTTTTTTACTTAGAACACACCCAAAAGGAAAAAAAAATGCCTCACAAAAATCTCACCATTGGTGTTCACATAAAACCCACAAATTTTCAACCACTTAACCAGACTGAACAGAAGAAGAAACAGGAGGCAGGAAAATTGCTGGCCAGTTCACTTTCTCTGAACCATTCCATTTGGCTACAACAGCCAAATACTCTCTCTTTTTAAAAAAAATAATTGTCCCAAATATCCTTGTTTGCTTTTAGGTATCCGTGTGCAACTTCTCAACAGTCGCCTAAAAACTGTAGCATAACAATTTGTATCTTGAAATTGGGGGTTGCTGGCAATCTGCCAATCACAAGGAAGATTCTGGTTCCAGGTAACTAGGCCCACATAATTTTTTTTAGAACAAAGGCACTTGGAGATCAATCATGATTAAACATTTGGTCTTGAATAAGAGGGGGCGGAACACATCACTGAGCAATATTCAAGGCTATTGTCGTCTTTCAGATAACTTTTTCAGGTTGTGGAAGGGACAAAAATAAATCACAAACAAAGTGCAGAAGCCAGAAATTTTTAGAGGAAAGGCAGACTCAGAATTATGTTTTTATCATAAGGAGGAAAACTTCTGACCAATTTGTTATCCCCTGTAAGGTTCTTTGCAATTTTACCCTCATTTTATGATATTGTTCACTTTCACAGCAATTGGAGAGGGAGGATGCTATGTAAGCTAAGTAGAATTCATGCAGTATTATTGATACACCTGGAGAAAAGGCAGTCATTTGAAAACCTCCCCACTAGGTACACAGAGAGATGTCTTCTGCTGTCCTAACAAATTAGTCTTTCCAATTTATTGGAGTCGACCTATTTCCATTGTGGCAGAAACTTTCTAAACACTTAAGAGTCAATGAAAATTTACCGCACAAAGAAGCAGACACTTGATTTGAATGCAATATCAGAAATAATACAAGATGCACCAGAAGGTGCTCATGTTTGTCAAATCCATATGCAGAAATAAAAGCTAAATAACCATTTCATGCCCCGAAGAGGCCAGGGAGGGAGTTTTTCCTGGCTTGGAAAAGCCGACATGTTCTCTGCAAGCTTGAATGGTTTCAAGCACAAAGCTAGCTAATCAGAAAGCCTGCCATTCCCAGCCCCAGAACCAACAGGGCCGGCCATCTGTTCATACAAGGATTCAGCCTGAGCCTTCCTGACCAATGACTTGGTTGGCAGGCACTGCTACCCTCACAGGCAGTGGCTCTCACCACCCCTATGTCCTCTACTCCAACACAGGCTTATCTCATGCAGAGAAGTAGAGGGAGATGTCAATTTTTGCAAATTAAAGTGCCCCATATGCTCTGCAAAGGGAAAAAGCTGTCCCTTCCTTTATCAAAATCAGCCATGCTGGAAACTTTCATTACCGATATGACAGAAGGCATCTGAACGGGTGGGCCAGGAAGGACCGGCATAGTCTGTCCATTCACAAGGTGCATGACAAGTGGTACAGAACTGGTAGGAGACCTGGAAAAGATTTCAAGCAAAAAGAAAACGCGTCAAACAAACTTCAGTCCAATTGGCAGGCAAGTGAACTCTCTCTCCAGCAAACCCTGGCTGCACATGATTCTCTTTGATTCATGGGTCCCATCTAAATTCTCCATGGTGCTCTAACCAATGGACAACAAACTAATTTCTTAATCTAACTTTTTTAACTGCTAACTAAATTGACAGAGTAAACATGGATCGCAAAGCCACAGTTGGTTCTAAACGAATACAGTACTTCTCATTCAGCAACCTGGTCATTAAGCAAAGTGGTTGCTAAGGGAAACTTCATGATTTTATGACCTTCATGTTTTTTTCCCTTTACAGATCTGTAAAGGTTATAAATATGAGGACCCGTTGCCAAGTTACTTTTTCATCCCCGTCATGAATGTGAGCGGCTGCTAAACATGGCAGTCGCTAAGCAAGGACTATATGTAACTAAAGCCTGCTTCTTCTCCCAATCCATTTCAAAATCTAACTGGAATGGCAATAATAAAAGAATTTAACTATGATGAAACTATATCTTAGGACATGTTTTCTTCCCTCATGGCTATTCTTGGGCAATTATATATTCCACTGCCATACCATATAAGATTTGATACCAGAACACACTTCAGGAGAAAATTCTACCCGATAAAATGCTCCATTCTAATCTGCTTAGGATGCTTTCTCTTCCCTTAAAGTTTCTACTTACCCGAGCTGCCTGTTGGAAGGTGGAGCCTGGGTGATGACTGAGGTTGGAGAAGGGAGAGTTGGATGTAGGGGGTCATATCCCAAGTGCAGTGGCAGAGATCCAGGACGTACAATAGTTGGAGTAGGTGTAGAAATGATAATAGGTTTTGAAACGCTCTCCTAAGAGAAATGCAGACAGTCAGTGCCAGGTTCCCACCACTGTCACCCTTTTGTAACGCTGTAAATTTTTGCTTTATTATCTTATTGATTACCAAATTACACTATATATCATATTACTAATTATTATTGATGGAAACATAGAAACAGGGCATAAAAATACAAAAACATCCCTCTTTCTTAAGGCAGAACAAATAACACTCTGCTAACTCCAAATAACTAACAGGGATGAGGTCTATAAGTATTACATGAATGTAGTTTCAAAAATCCCAATTTTACCTAAAGACAAAAGGTCCAAATCTTCTCAAACCAGGAATCTACAGCACTCAGTTTCATTATAATCAGGATAATTATTACAAGGATTGCTTGATTTAAGAAATGAGTCAAACAGATTTATTTATAGCATTTAGTAGTTTTGTACCAAAAAATAGTTTGGGATTTAATATCATGTTAACCCTATCAGATCCCTCACAAAGTACTACAATAGAATGGAAAGCATGGATTAATGTGATCTGCAGGCACATTGGTAGATGATAATAGGCAATTGAAACTCTGAGCGAAATATAGGAACTATTTGGAATGCAAATAGATGTTCATTAAAATTCGAATCCAATCCCAATGCTTTTTTTCTAGTAGCAAGAACTTCCAAGAGCAGTGATAAGCCACGTTTCCATAAATTTCATTTCATTCTTCTGAGCTCTTTCCTGCTTTATGATTTGGTTGAGATCCATCACTAGGAATGTGGAGTTGCCAGCAGACATGAAGCCAAGAAACGACTGCACAGAGAAAACACTGGGGTGGTGATAATTTAAATTGTTTCAGCAGTTTTCATGCATCTGTCCCTGGCATGGAACTGCCAGTTCTTACACTCAGCAAAGAATCAGAAAATGGGTAGCAAGTCCAGCAGTAAACTCGGGTTTATAGGATTAAATTGACTAATACTTCTGAATCTCTTGCCTCTATGTTACTATTATCAGAAATAATAAGACAGCTAGTTTTGCTTTTGTTCTTATACAGAGGGCATCTTTTTCAGAACGAGCAAAAGCCATTAAAAGCAGATTAAAATAATGCAGGTAGTCCTCGACTTACAGCAGTTCATTTAGTGATCATTCAAAGTTACAACGGCACTGAAAAAAGTGACTTATGACCGTTTTTAACACTTATGACCGCCGCAGCATCCCCACGGACACGTGATTTACATTCGGATCCTTAACAACTGGTTCATATTTATGACGGTTGCAGTGTCCCAGGGTCCTGTGATTTCCCCTTTTGTGACCTTCTGCCAAGCAAAAATCAATGGGAAAGCCAGATTCACTTAACAACGGTTTTTCTAATTTAGCAACTGTGGCAAGAAAAATCGTGAAATGGGGCATAACTCACTTTCTCGAACGTCTCACTTAGCAACATAAATGTTGTGGCCATAACTCGAGGACTACCTGTACTTCCTGAAAGCTCACCTTCTCCTTAGGCTGTGGTGACTGTGGACTCTCTACTGGGCTGTCTGGAGGAGAAGAATCCACTTCAACAGGCTCTTCCTCTTTGATTTTGACGTCTGGGGTAGAGGGAAGAGACATATCTAGAGGACCAGAACACTGCGGAAACACAAAATACTTGTTTTAATACAGTGCCCAAAGCTCCTGTGATGAGTTTTGCAGGTTTCTGCACGTCCACCATTCACGAACTTAGACTATCAATGCTTGTGACACTTTTTATGGCAATAGTAATAACACTTAAACTTATATACTGCTTCACAGTGCTTTTACAGCCCTTTCTAAGCGGTTTAGAGTCAGCCTGTTGCCCCCAACAATCTGGGTCCTCATTTTACCAATCTCAGAAGGATGGAAGGCTGAATCAACCTTGAGCCTGGTGGGATTCGATCTGCCAAATTGCAGTCAGCCGGCAGTCAGCAGAAGTAGCCTGCAGTACTGCACTCTAACCACTGCACCACCACAGCTCAATTATCCTGGTTTTCTGATGCTAACATCATCTTTTTGGTCCAGAAAAGCTAATAATATACTAAAGACTGCAGGATCTAATCTGAGTCAGTCACCGGGACCAAAGGTTTATTCTTCTGAGCTTTCAGGATCGTGCTGGAGCCCATCATTAGGGAACTTGTCTCCAGAGTATGTGCAGTGGGCTGTTCCACGCATTGTATTTACTAAAGACGACTGTCGAGGATGCTCTTACGATCCCTGGGCTGAAACAGTGCAATGCAGATTATACAAACAGCAATTTGCCCCCACCAAGGACACCTGCTACTCTTCTTCACATGAATGTCAGGTTAGATGTCTGTCTTAAATTGCTCAGACCCTAAAAGCTTATTAAACCAGAAAGGCGGTATTTTGGAGACTGTGTACATAGCATTATACAGGCAACCCTTTTTTTCTTGTAAAACTTTGCAAATATAAAAATAAAGCTGGAGGGCCTGCAGGTCACAATCCCACCCCACCCCCCGGGCTCGTTCACAGAAGTGCTGGAATCCGCGATATAAGTCACTTTTGAATTATTGCTTGATTTATCAAAAGCCAATGAGAGAGCCATGTAACTTATTACAAACCTATGACTAGGCCATTGTAATAAAACCCAACCATATGCCTGAGCCTGGCAGCTAGCCACCACACCTATTTTCATTTCAACAGCTCAGCGTGGCCTTTTCCAATTTTTTGTGAACAACAGCTTGCTGTGCTCGTAGATCTCCGGGTCGTAGTACAGCAGGAAGAAATGGCATTGTGCATAGCAAAGCAGAAAGAGAAATAGCGCATTAAATAGTCTTGGAGCAATCAAAAGTGGCCTAATACCTGCTCAAGGCCTTTGATGGAGTTCGCCAAGGTGATAAAAAAAGGTATAATGAGCCGCTGGGAGGCGAACAGGCCAGTCAGCACAAACAAGCTACTTTTCAATGTATTCAAGGCAGAAAATTGCTTTTAGTGGTTACCAAAGAAAACCAACAGGGGCAAGCAGGGTAACAATTAATTAGATCATCTTTCTTTCCTTCTTTGCTTAGCAATCTGCTAATTGCCGCCTCATTGGTCTTCTGCTGGCTACTTCTTGTGCATAATCTTCAGTTAAATGTTTCTTTAGGACTCTCTTTTGTGCTGTAATACACACCATCAGGTGCAAGAAATCAGGAACCAAATCAGTAGAAATTTATTCCACGCCATCTCTAAACAAGAAGCTGAACTACTAACGGTCAAGACAAATTGGCAGTAGATAAAAGTCAGCGGAATTCAAGGAGGGCTAGATTTAGATCTCTTGTGGGTGTGATGGGACTCCAGACTGATGACATGCTTGACCTCCCCCTCTGGCTCAGCCTGGTCATCGACTACACAAACTGTCATATTACATGCTGAATGTCAGACTTTGCCATCTCCTGGTTGTTTCTCCTTTAGCTTCTTATTTGTTTAACACAGGCCCAGTATGTTCCAGTTCAATTCTCTCTAACCAGGTACCCTCTAGAGCAGGGGTCACTAACCCCCGGTCTGTGGACCAGCACTGCTCCGTAGCATCCCAGCAATTAGGCTGCACATACAAGCGAAGCCCCATCCAGTCTGTGGAAAAATCTTTTTCCCTGAAACCGATCCCTGGTGCCCAAAAGGTTGGGGGCCACTGCTCGAGAGGTTTTGCGGCTATAATTAATTTTGGCTTGTTATTCTGGGATATACACTCCTAATATAACTAGAGAAACATTATAACTTTAAGTGTTTTCCCACCATTCAAGGGGAGCTTTTCCCTAAGGCTGCTAGATAATGCCTTTTAACTTTCTGAAAAACAGATTGATTCAAAGCATTTTGATGGTTTGCATGCAAAACACATGTTCTACCACTGAATTTTCCCATTTGCTTTACTAATCCTGTAACTGAAAAATGTCTGTAGAAATAAAAGAAAATGGCCACCACCGTGGATGATGACACTCAAGTGGGTGTCCAAAGTACTGCAGCTCAAAGTCAGTTATTAACATTAATCAGGCTAATACATCTGTAAGTAATTACAAGCTTCTTAATTTCTAGTCACTCCTGACAAACCATGAGTGTCATATTTTAAGAGTAGAGTATGAAGCCAATCTCATATGAGGGTTAGCAATAGGAGGATCACATTTAACCCTCTTGGAGGATGATGCCTCAGTTCTGCTCATCTACCAACTTAATGAGGTGATTTGAAACTAAAGTTAAAAGAACCGGAGCATGTCCAATTTTTTTAAAAGTATTAAATTGCTTCACTTTAATGAAGTGGAGCTCCAAAGCACCCAGAATTCCCAGTCAGCATTTTTAGGCCAAGGATATGCAGAAAACATAAACTGTGGAAGAACCACATTAGGGAATCATTCAGAAGACAAACCATTGCTGAAAACATCTACTAGGAAGCATCAAGTTCTCTGTGAGAAACAGCAGGTATCCGAGAAACAGCCGAACTGGCTACTATCTTTCAGAAGAAACTAGTTTATTGGGTTGCTGTAAGATAAAATAGAGGTGCCACCAGCCCTTTTCATATGGCATAAAGACTAAAAACAAGGTCTGGGCCTGCAGCAGGGTTTTAAAAAAGAGGCCTCCGCACTGAGGAGCGAATGAATATGGAGCTTCTCCATATGACTCGTCTTGACCCAGGAGATGAGTCACCCATCCATCTGGAAATACCCCAATCTTTTTTTTCAACTACAAAGATCATCAACATCTCTTAGCTGGAACTACCCAGAAGAAGCAACATCCTCCTCACCCCTAATCAATTTACACGCATCCGCAAAAGTAAAACTACCACCAGCAACTGGACTCGATTTAGCCAAGCGTTTAAAGTATCCCATGAATGTGGCGGGCAAAATCCGCCAAGTTTTCTAACTAGGAAACCAGCTGGAATTAACAATCCAGGCAGCTCTATTCTTGGAGGAGTAATTCCTTCAGCCTGCATGAAACTAGCCGGGCTTGGAACCGCTGCAGGCTCTTGCTGAGGTTAGAAATACTAAGGCTGAGTCATATATTTAACTAGGAGGAAGGGGAGACAAACTCCACCAAATTAAGAGTCGCAGTGGTAGCTATTTTAAAAAGTCCAGCAATAGGGCTATGGGTGGTCTAAACACATGAAGTGTTTGGCTATAAAACAAAACTTCAAATTAAAAACTAAAATTAAGATTCAAGGCTGCCACACATTTTTTAAAAGACAAGGAACCCAGACAGACATAAAGGAATGGCTCAGTGGAAACAGCAAGGCAGCAATTTAGCAGGCAAGATAAGGATTTCATTAAGAGACCCGTGGCTGTTTATTTATATTAAAAAGTATAATATGAGACATAAAGAGATCAAGGGTTGCTTAGTTTCTTGTTCTGGCTGGTCTAATCCTATTTTAAATTCTTATTTAATAAATAATTCAATTTGAATGCTTCCTGTTTTAAGGTTTATTAGAGAAAGAGGGAGGGAAAATGCGAACTCAAACAAGCAGCATTTGGATACCTCCTTCCAAGAGCAGAATAAGATACAGATGATTTAATAAAGAAAAATATGAAAAATAAAATACAAATATATGTGTGTTCTAGCCAAGAATCCCTTTCCAACGCTTTGGAAAAAAACTCTCATTTTAAAATATGAATTCATGAAATCTATTTTTCAACATTTCTTTCATTACTGTACTAACGGGGTTCTGTGAAATCTGACATTAGCTATGGCTGGGATACAAAGCTTGAAGCAGCACGGAGGCATTACAATTTTTTCCTCTCTTTTAGATCTCATCATAAATCAAACAAATGCCTAAGATGGAGTGTTATAGCAGGTGGAAGCATCCAGTAGATCTTGGCTGATCTTCAGAAAGCAAAACAGATTAGGGCCTCATTTGTATTAATCTGGAGGCCACCAGAAAATCCCAGAGCTCTACAGTAGATTAGGAACTTGGAGCAATATCTCAGAAAATGACCATAGCATACTGTTGTTGTTTTTTTAAAAAAATCCACGTGACTAGTGACTTTAATAAATGACTACATAACTATAATAGATGGCATATCTATCTAGTAACTATGATAAACTCAAGTGAGCTTTTCACATATAGCTGTTCACATATAGCTGTTTCACATATAGTTGGAAGCAAACTGGCAATGTAACTCATGGAGCAGAGGTGCAATGCGTTTCACTCTAGGGATGCCCATAACTATTTACCCCATAGACCAGAGGTCCCCAACCCCCAGGCTGCAGACAGGCCTGTCCAAAACTGGGCCATGGAAGTGGCAGACGAGTACGCACGCAGCTCCATTTGTGTGCCCGCCGCTTGCATGGAACCATTCCCTCTCCCCCACACTCCCCTGGTCCACAAAGCTGGAAAGGTTGGGGACCACTGCTACAGACAAATATGCAGCTTTGGATCATTTTCCTCAATAAATAAAGAAACAAGTATAATGTTTTCAACTTGTTTGTTTAATTGGGTTTTCTTTCTTTTCTTTCTATTTTTAGGACATGTGTGGAAAATAGATGTTTTAATTTAATTTAATGTTTAATGCAGAAATACCAAAAACTCAAAAGAATTCGCATACTTTTAAGCACTACTTTACATGCATGACACAGACTGCCAACTTTGCCTTGTTGGTTGCCCCTCACCCTCTCCATGGTTAAGTGTGGCTCCTTGACCAACAAAACCTAAATTCTCCCTGAGCTGGCAATATTTCTCGATACAGATGATGACCCTCATGTTGCTCAATGTTTTAGTTTAGTAAGGACAAAATACGTTGCCTCTTGCCTTTTTCTCATCGTCTTCTGAGGCTTTCTTGAATTCATGTTCAAATGAGCTTGCCAACTCATTGAAGAGACCAACTTCCTCACAATTCTTCAGAAAACGTGTTGGTGTTGGAGTTTGATCTGTTTGGCAAAGGAGAGGAAAAGGCAGTAAGAAATATGTGATTGAAGTCCATGATTCATCCCACAGAATGAGCAGCCAGGATATTAATTTATAGCACAGTTTTGTAACAATGCAGTTAATCATGCTAGAAAGTTTGGATTCCATTATTCAGATACTTGTGTCTGTGTCGGTTTGATCATCATCATCATCATCATCATCATCACCACCCTGCCCTGTGCAGAGCACATTGGATTTCAGCCATGTATTAATATAGAACAGAATTCTATGTATTTTACAATGATATGTGGTATTAAATCTGTAATGGAGATAGGAAAATGTATGTATAAATGAACTGCATTTTTGGAGGACTATAATGTAGTTGGAAGTAGGAGGGGCTGGTCAAGACCTGAAGGCAGGAATGAATTTAACAGCGGCTAGAATCGTATTTGCTAAAAATTGGAAAAATGAGAAAATACCAACGCAGGAGGAAGTTATTAAGAAAATAATGGAATGTGCTGAAATGAGTAAATTGACATTTAGAGAACAAGAAGATAAACAATTTTATAAGATATGGGATTCATTTTATCAATGGTTAGACAAAAAATATGGAAATGAAATATGTCAGAGAATTTTATAATACAAGGATAACAGAATGATACAGAACATAATATAAAAATGTACTACTATTGGATGGACTTAGGATGATGTAATGAATTGCTATAATATAAATTAACTTAAAATTTTGAATATCTCATATAAAATGATGGAACAATAGTTTAGTCAAATAAATGATTAACAAAGATAATAATGTATACATATATATTAGATTTGTTTTCTTAAGTTTTTGCGGGTATTTATATGTATGGTATTCAGCTTTGTTCGGGTATTTTCCCACGTCATTATAGTTGTGCTTTTAAAGTTGTAGCAATGTTTCGGCAGAATCTCATCTGCCATCATCAGGCTTCTGTAGACGAACACTATACAGAAGCCTGATGGCAGATGAGATTCTGCCAAAACGTTGCTACAACTTTAAAAGCACAACTATAATGACGTGGGAAAATACTTGAACAAAGCTGAATACTATATATATATATTAATTTATAATATGGGAATTTATACAAACTGTAAGTGAGGACTATGGGGAGGATGCACAAAAGATCTGTAACCAACCAACCGTATGTAACTGGAAGATGGTTTTATGTTTTGTGTATGTTTGTCTAAAAATTAAAAAAGTCTTTTTAAAAAAAAGGCAGGAATGAATGCGGGCATTTTAAAAGATAAGAGGAGGATAGCTTAGAAACAGCGAATACAGATTGGCTATATCATAATAGGATGGGGAGATCTTACAGTAGGAGCATATGAAAGCCCGTGACATTGTACTGCTCTGAAGGGTGCTGGGACATGAAGTGCTTCAGAGGATCTCAGGAAGATGCATCAGTGTGCATGTAGAGATGCTTCTAAAAATATCAAGAATGAGGAAGGAATAAGGAATCTCTATCTTGCTAGTATCTTATCCAAATAGTGAGACATGAAAAGAACATCCCGTTTATGAAGAGCTTCAATCCCTTCTTCTAATAAGGAAAAGAGAGGGAGGGAGGGGGGGAAAGAGAGGGGGGAGAGAGGGAGGAAGAGGGAGAGAGAGAATGGGAATGAATATGCAGGTCTATCTGTGGGGAACTTTTGCTCTTATCCCTCTCAGAACCTCCTTCTCCACTTGCTCTTCCTTTCCAGCTATATCATATCAATGGCCTAAAAAAAAAAAGAGAGAGAGACAGTCCCCTTTCCCAATTTACAAAAACCTTCCTTGTTTGGCTGCCTCCGGCTAGATTTTTTGCTAGTTGCAGAAAAGCCACTGAAGGAGCAACATTTTAAAAGCTTTCGCATTTCTGCTTCTGCATGCCTGTTTTAGATTTACTTGCAGCATTTAAATTTACAATGGTACCTTGGTACTCGACTGCTTCAAAACTTGTCAAATTTGGTACTCGACACATTTTTGATGTGTACTCGGTGTTTGTTTAGTACTCTATGTACGGCATTAGGAAGAGGGGAATGACTGCTGAGAACAGACAGGAAGGAAGTCGGACATGCTGGAAAGGTCGCTGACATAAGAAAAGGGACAGACAGAAAAATATTCCCAGCTGAAACAAAGGGTCACGTGATAAGTCACATCGTTTGTTTGGGACTTGCCCTTTTTAAATACTTGCCGCACCAATTAGCGATGTGTACCGAGATACCACTGTACACGATGCAGTAAAATAAAATTTTAAACATGTTCAGTGTCAAAAGGGATATGTTTTATGATTTGAATACTGCATGTTTGAATGTGGGTTTTTTTTTGCTCCTATTCATTATACAGAAGAAAAGAGAATTGTGTATAAAGCACTGAAGCCATTAATGTTTGGCCTCTGAATCCAACACAGCATTTTGAATTTTTACAATCACCCCCCACCACACACACACTTTTAAAATGAAACTGGACATGCTGCATCCATCCAGCCACAGAAGAATGGGTTATATTCTGATTTGGATTTTGGCCCACTGTACCCACTTCTTGTTGGGACTTTTTAATATGCTGGCTGATATGAGCAAGCCCAGGAGGATCTCAGGAGAATCTTTTATTTGTACTTTATGTTATTTGGTGGTGGAGGCAGAAACTTGGTTTGCTGTCATTGCTAGGGGGAGGCATGCATGAATTGATGTTTGCAAAGGCAAAGCAGGAACTTTGAGTGATTCATCTACTTAATCAAAAGCTGCAACAAGAAAATAGAATTCTTTATTGGCCAAGTGTGATTGGACACACACAAGGAATTTGTCTTCAGTGTATAAGCTCTCAGTGTACATAAAAAATACATTCATCAGAATCGTAAGATACAACACTTAGTGATAGTCATAGGGTACTAAATAAGCAAAATCATACTAGGAAACTAAATAAAACAATATAAATCGTAAAGATACAAGCAACAAGGTTATAGTCATAAGTAAGAGGAGAGAGGTAATAGGAAGGATGAAAAAAATAATAGTAATACAGTCTTAGTAAATAGTTTGACGGTGTTGTGGGAATTAGTTGTTTGTGATGGCATTCGGGAAAAAACTGTCCTTGTGTCTAGTTGTTCTGGTGTGCAATGCGTTATCGCATTATAACATCGTTTTGAGAGTAGAAGTTGAACCAATTTATGTCCAGGATGTGAGGGGTCTGTAGATGTTTTCACAGTCCCCTTTTTGACTCACGCAGTATACAGGTCCTCAGTGAAAGGCAGATTGGTAGCAATTGTTTTTTTTTCTGCAGTTCTATGTTCTATATTTTTTGCAGTTCTATGTTCTATGTTTTTTCTGCAGTTCTATAGGAATCAATGACAGGCAATTCTGTGAAACAGTCACTGTGGGTATCACAATACACAACCTGGTAGACATCAGTGTTAAAGAACTATGTATATATCGGTTTTTTGTAATTGACTATTAGGTATTTACTGGGCGCAAGTGCTTAAGGACACTCTCCTCTGTCCAATCCCAATGCTCTTATCCTCTTCTACAGCATGTGCACTATTTGCCCAGCAATCCCTTCATATGTCAGGAAAAAATAAGCCCCTCAAAGCATGCTTTCTATTATAGTTATAATTTACTGAAAAACTGATCAGACTAAGTATGGTTAGCAATCAGACTAAGTATGGTTAGCAAACAAGACTTACAATCATTCATTTAATGACCATTTGAAGTTATGAAGGCACTGAAAAAGATGACTTATAATAGGTCCTTGCATTTATGACGACTGCAATGTTCCCTAGGTCACATGATCAGAAATTTTGGCCCTTGGCAATTGGCATGTATTCACTACATTTGCAGCGTCCTGGGGTCCCATGGTCGCCATTTGCGATCTTCCCGAGAAGTTTC